GGATATTCTGTATCTATAGTATTACGGCATCGGAATAGACTTTTTTTTAATTTGTAGGCAACGGTAACGTTTATTCAGCCGCAGCAAGTACCACCAGGGTACATACCAGCTACCTGTATTGTACTGTAATATAATATAATTATACTGTGTTGTAATTAAAACTGTTCGAATTTATAATAAATAAAACAAGTCTTAGAAATTCTTTTTAATGTTATTTATTGAATTTTTTGTTTTTAATTTTTTTCTTAAATTTATTCAATGTACACACAATGCTACAGGTTGCTGCCATTTACAGACAGCGCCTCGTAACAGAACGTGGTCTGTAAAGCTGTTGGTTTTTCCATTTAAATCAACAAATCCAACAATGTCGTCCTTGTAATTTGAATATGTTAGAGCAGTTTCTAGTGACATTTCATCAAATAGCACTGTACACAATCTTCTTTTGCTGTCCCAGCTTTTTACCTGTAATTTTATAGTAAAATATAAGTTTTTCATAATTTTATTACATACTACCAATATTTACAACACTTGCTAAGTAGTTATTAAATATTTACCTGATTTTTTATAAGGTCGAATATTTGTGGATTTATGCCAGCACCAATATTTAGTTGGCTTATCAAGTTCTTCAAAGTTGATTTTGAAGGCAAAATGAATATCTTTTGGAGAAACTTGTAACATTTTGGACCTTGCTTGTAAATTGAAAGAGCAATAAGTTTCTCTTCGGTTGTAAACCTTCTGGCCATCTTTTTTTTCATGTAAAGTTTCATTTGCATTGACAGAACATTTCTCGACAATGGGTTCATCTTATTTAGAACTTCTTCTAAACACTCAGTTTTACTGAAGGCCAGTCAGTGCCCTTTTGACTTGTGTGTTGTATTCTTTTTGGTTTCTAACCTTTTTATGTTCATTGTATAAAAGTTTGCACCTCGGTGTTAAGGCCTTTACATTCTTAATAAGCCTTCTTTTGACTACTTTTCGTGGTGTTTTACATATTGAGGCTAAAAAGATACAGTACATGTTTTATAAAATATAATAAAAGAAGTAAAACTAGTATTCCTGTTAACAAACAAAATATGTTCGTGCTTTCATAAACAATAATTATTTATTCAACTTCAAATATTACCTGATGCATAGTGCAGTGCGGAACTTGATGATGCAACGGGCACAAGTTGACCTGGTATTGTAGGCAAGACATATGTATCTGCAATGAAATAATTCATATTAATATGCTTCTTCTTTTGCGATCACATAAAACATAGAAAAGGATGATACACATACCAGAAACCTCAGTTTGTGCACCTTTATTAGGTTTTTGCTCATAAGGTAGTGTATACGAGTGATCAATGTGTCGCTTCCTTGAGTAACTGTGGTCACTGAATATATCTAAAAAAATAATAGATAATAGGTCATTAACACATTACAGAAACAGACACCTTCAATAAGTCTAGAAAATGAAATTTCTCTATACATAACTGCCAGTCAGTGTGATGTACAGTCAACAGCACATCAAGCTACACACTGATGAATCTTGTTCCATAGCACTGGGGGCGATATTCGAACTAAAATGTGTAGTTTGATGTGCTGTTGACTGTACATAGTTTGCTTTATACCTATTTAATAAAATTTTACATATACGTATAGACTAACAATCGAAAGAAATTTTCAGTATTTAGGTACTAGAAGTAAATTTTACCTCTTTCTCTGGAGGCAATTGATGGTCTTCCCGGGGATATCTCCCAGATCCGTAAAATAAAGTAGGGTAAGCTCCAATCTTCAGATGATTTGACGCTGTGTGAAACCTTTGCTCGAAATGTTTATGGCAAAACAAGCATGTTTTTGGTTTCACCCATAAAATTTTCACTACGTATACACTTTAACCACTGTATTTTCCTTTCCTCGTTCTTGGGAATATGATGCAATTTAACGTCCTGTCGTAAACTATTGCATTCGGGTGCACAACACTTTCGATACATTACGAAAACGCCGGCGAAGCTGTATTTGTAGATTAGAAGAGGCGGAAATTAATCAACGCAAACACTTTTCATCAATACAAACAAGCACAATGTCAATAATACTGTATTTGTGGATTTAAAGGGCGGAAATCAATCAACGCAAACGCTTCTCTTCGACACAAAACAAGCAATATGGCGCCCGCGCAAAATGGCGTCTGACTGTAAGAAGCGCGCGGGGTGAAGATTGCAGAGAGGGCGAGAGGGAAACGTCAGTATGCTAACGTGCACTGTCATCACTACGCTTTAACTTTTTCTTAGCGGCTTAACGGGGCGTAAAAAAAAGGGCGCCAAGCTTCAAAGTAGTTTGCTTTATTTTAATTAATTTTGAAAAATTACTTTTAAGCCCTTTTTGATTACAAATTACTGTCGAATTTACTTGCATATCCGTTACTATTAATTGGGTAAATGAGTGTCTCCAGTGACGGCATCGTCCGTCCTGGAAAAAGGAAAAACGATGAGAAGAGTGACTTCGTAGAATCTCCTCCCACGAAAATGGCGGCAAACTTTTCTCGAACCCGTAGAGGACTTTTCAGAGATTATAACCACATTTACACCGATAATGATAAGAAAGAGTATACAATCCTACTTTCATCGAACAATGGCCAAAATAACAAAATGGATTTACTCAAAGTTAATAATGTTTTGAAAACTACATCTGGAGTTATCTACGTCAAACAGGTCGGACCTGCACTTGTTAAAGTATTTTTTAACAACAAGAAGGACGCTAATAACTTTTTGCTTAACAAAAAGGCACTGGAAAAATTTGAATGGTTAGCAAGAATTCCATACAATAATCTCGAAAGCCAGGGCATAATACGAGCACCTGTTGATATTTCTGAAGAGGATTTATTAGAAAACTTGAAGGCTGCAACTGATATCATCGGAGTCAAACGTTTCAACCGTAAGGTCGCAGATGACTCCTGGGTTCCAACACCGACAGTCTTAATAACTTTTTTAAGTTCAACAGCGCCTGATCACGTCACGTTCGATCATATTTGGTTTGATGTGAAGCAGTATATCAAGCCGTTACTTCAATGTTTCACATGCTACAAATTTGGCCACAGCAGAGGGTCCTGCAAAAGTAAGCAAATCTGTTCAATTTGTACAGGAAATCACTTCTTCAAAGACTGTGACAACAAAGACACTGTCAAATGTGTAAACTGCAATGGCTCACATACAGCAGTTTCAACACTTTGTCCGCAAAAAGCTGCAAAAGTTGCTGAAATAAAAGGGAAAATAAAAGGTAATGTAACTTACGCCACAGTTGCTGCAAAAGTTAAAACTACTTCCGATTTGTATTCTAATCAAATTCCAAACAAAAGGGCTTTATTTAGTGATGTAATTAACTCCGTTGACATATTGGGTGTTATGATTAAAACTGTAATAGATGTTGTTAAATTACATAATACGAAAGATACTAGTAGTCCAGATCCTATCTCTGCAAAATCTATAAAAGAGTTGTTGATTACCAATTTTGCTGCACATAAATAATGGATAGCACTATTGGTGTTGGACAATTAAATATACTACAATGGAATTCTCGTAGCATCTTACCCAAATTAGACCAACTCAAAAATTTTGTTTATAGCAGTGATGTAGATATAGATTTGATCCTCCTCAATGAGACTTGGCTGAATCTTAATAAAATTTTTAGACTACCTGGTTTTAATATAGTGAGACGTGACTCTGACCATCCACATGGAGGAGTTGCAGTGGCAGTTAAGGACAAGTATAGTTTCTCCACTATTGCAACATCTTCAGATTATCATTTTCAAAACATATTAATCTCCCTCAAACTTCATGTATTTTCTGTAGACATATTATGTGTGTATATGCCTCCTCCTCCCAACGGGAAATTTAGAATTCAACAGTTATCAAGTGCATTGACGAAAATCGCTAACAGACATTATTTAGTTATAGGAGACTTTAATGCTCATCATACTTCATGGGGTTCTAGAAATAATGATCGCAGAGGTAATAGCTTACACTCACTAACAGAGACCCAAAACCTAGTCTGCTTAAATGACCACACCACCACTACCTTGGCTCCTTTTGGACAGCAAGGTAATGTCTTGGATTTGGTAATTGCTTCGCAGTCGATAAGTTCCAGTTGTTCATTATCGGTTCTTGATGACCCTCTCAGTAGTAATCACTTCCCGCTTTTATTGAATGTTATTTACAACACCGGCTCCACGGGTGCTGTCACACGAACTCAACCCAATTATGTATCGCCTCCGATAAATTCTTTATCTGAAATTAATTTTAAAAAGATTGATTGGTCTAAATTTACTGAATTGTGCAATGAAAGATTTTCTTTTAATCCCAATACAGATCCATTACAAAATTATAACAACTTTGTTTCTAAATTAGTTGACATTTTATTGACATTCCGTAAAAAAGTATATCCTTGCCACAGAAAACGTAAACCTTTACTGTGGTGGAATGACATATGTAACCAAGTTGTGCTTAGAGCCAAATTGGCATTGAACTCGTTTAAAAAGTATCCCACTATGGAAAATTTCATTTTATACAAGAACTTTGATGCTAATAAAAAAAAAAATCCTAACAGAACAAAAAATATTAGCATGGACTAACTTATGCTCCTCTTTTAATCGAATGACTCCCACTAAAGTTATTTGGGACTATATTAGGCGATTCAAATTCTCTAAACTAAATTCAACCGCTAATACTAATACACTTTTTTTGGAAGATCCAGTTAATGCTTTAAACTTTCTCAACAAAATTGCTTCTCGCGACAGCATCGCCATTGATATGCGTGAATTACAAATTTATTTCTTATCTCCTGGTGCTGACTCAGCACAATGGCTCACCTCTAATTTTCAAATGCATGAATTTGATGCTGCTCTCATGTATAAAAAAAATACTTCCCCGGGTCCCGATTTCATTCCTTATTTAGTGATAAAAAAATTACCATCCCAAGCTAAAATCATTCTTCTTAAAATTTTTAATCAATTATGGCTTAATAATTCTATTCCCCCTGTTTGGAAAGATCAACATGTTGTTCCAATTCTTAAACCGTACAAGGATATTCATAGCTTAGATGCATATAGACCCATCTCGTTGACATCGTGTTTTTCTAAATGTTTTGAAACTATGATCAAAAATAGGTTAGAATGGTATATTGAAAGCAACAGTTTGATTCCGGAGTTCCAATTTGGTTTCCGCAAAGGGAAATCCACCATGTATAACTTGGGGTGTTTAATAGGTGATATAAAAAGGAATATGAGGCGTAACAAATACACTCTTGCTGTTTTTTTTGGACATCAAAGGCGCATTTGACAATATAAATCATGCATATCTTATCAAGAGTCTCTCTTATCTGGGCATTCCAGGCCCCATTCTATTGTGGATATTTTCATTCTTAAATGGTAGAAATATTTCTTTAAAAATTAAAAATAATCTTTTTGGCTGTAGAACCACAAATAAAGGTACTCCTCAGGGTTCCGTTCTATCACCTTTGATTTTTATATTGAGCCTTGTTAATCTCATGAATCAAATTCCAATGTCTGTGAGATATTCATTTTATGCAGATGACTTAGTAATTTATCTCGAATGCGACAATATATACGTTGGACAAAAAAATATGAACAATTGCCTTTTTACATTACATAATCTATTGTCGACCCAATTAATGTTAGAAGTTAATACAAGTAAAAGTTCAGTCATGCTTTTTGCGGCAAAATGCTCATTTACGCCCAAAATTTATTACAATGACTGTTTGCTTCCAGTCCAATCTAAAGAAAGGTATTTGGGTATTATATTGGATCCTCAATTAACTTGGGAACCACATATTCTACATATCTGCAAAAAGACTGAGTTAGGCTTAAATATCCTTAAATCTCTAGTGGGGTTGAAATGGGGAGCTGATCCCAAGATTTTAAAAGTCTTGTATATTGCTGCCATTCGCAGCCACTTTGACTATGGATGTATGTTTTTTGCCGATGCTGCTAACCATTTACTCAGAAAGCTAGAAATAATTCAAAATAGAGCTTTGCGAATAATTTCAGGAGCTATGATGTCTTCCCCTATTAATTCCCTTGAGGTAGAAACAGGTGTAGTTCCTCTTATTGTCAGGAGGAGCTTTTTAACTGAGAAGTTTTGTCTTAGATTAGTTAGCTGCGACAATCCTGTAATTTGTAGTTTTTTAGAAGACTATGATATTCCTGACTTTAATACAGCTCCTTTAACTGCTACTACGACGCTGAGCCAATCTATTGCATATCTAAATTTTGAATTTCAGAATGCAATTTATTGGTCTCCAAAATTGCCTTGTTTTAACTTCGACTTTCACTGTTTAATTATGGATATATTAGTAAATACATCAAAGTTTAGGAACAAATTTGAATTTTATGAGTTTATAGATGCTAAGAAGGATTACATTAAAGTGTATACAGATGGTTCTAAAACTAAGGATAGGACAAGTTTTGCTTTTTATAATTCTTATTTAAAATGCGGAAGAGTTTTTATTTGTAATAATTTATTTTCTATTTTTTCTGCTGAGGTTTTGGCAATGATTTATGCTATAAACTATATTTTAAATTCTAACTTTAGTATTTCTAAATATTTGATTTTGTCCGATTCTTTGAGTGCACTGTTGTTATTGAAAAATAAGATCATTGATAGCCGTGTTAATTACTTAATTTACTACTTAAGAAATCTAGTTAACGAAATGTGCAATAAAGGTTTCACTATAGAGTTCTGTTGGGTTCCGGGACACTCCGGTATATTTGGAAATGAACTAGTCGACACCCTAGCAAAATCGACAGAAAATGTAGACTACTGTGATTTTAAAGTTCCTCATTCAGACTTGGTTTTATGCCTTAAGGAAAATATGATCAAAAGATGGTGTCTCACTCTAAATTTTACAAGAGAAGTTAAAGGAAAGTGGCTTGCCGAGATAGTCCCGGTGCCTTCAACCAAGGCTTGGTTTGAAAGATATCCCACATATATAGGTAGAGATTTTATAACGACTCTAAGCAGACTTCGCATAGGTCATTGTAAGATCCCTGCACATTTATTTAGGTTAAAGTTAAATAGTAACTCGTTATGTACATATTGTTCCCATAATTACTGTGACCTTAATCATTTGTTTTTTGACTGCCCACAATTTTCTTTACAACGTCTGTTACTTATTTCTTTAACTCAAGACCTTCTCCAATATAAAACAATTCCCAGTACTGTACAGGAGTTTTTAAAGCACACAAGTTTATATAACGTAATATTTGAATTTGTAAATAGCACCTTTAAAATAGTGTAAGTTGTCTATATTTAATTTATTTTTTTAACTTTCATACTGTAGTAGTTAGTTTTTTTTTATGACATTTAAAACTCTGTAATAAATATAATAATTCATGTTTAGGCTGATGGCTTTGCCAAAGCCTTAATAAATTAAAAAAAAAAAAATTAACGGGGCGTGTTAGAAAGATTTAGTAGATACATCCAGAAAATAACGTATTTATTTTTATTTCTCTTGGCTTTTCGCGGTAAGCGTTTTAGCCACTTATAAAGTGTTTTGACATACTAAATCTATGGTTTTGACCAACTTGTTTTTAAAACGGGGAAGCTTTTCTAATATTGTGGAAAGTAATTTGGAAACGGAATTTAAAAGGAGAAAAATTTAAAAGGGATCAAGCGAGGAATTATGAAATTGAAATAAGCAAATGGTATAAATATAGAATAAATATTATATTATTATTACAGCAGTTCAATTTTTATATTAAAAAAAAACGATTATTCGGTTTTTTTTTACAATATCATGTGACGGGCCGAACAAGTCGTGCCCCTGATGGTAAGCTACACGCCTGTCCTGTCTTTATCAAATATTGCAGTGTCCTCAGAGTCACCGTTGCCAGACTAGGCGATTTTTCGCCACTTAGGCTACTTTAAGTGGTCGTGTGGCGACTAAAAAAGTGATCACACATGAAGTATAATGCTCATATTATGATATTAATTATGATAGTATAATATGATTGATATAATAAAAATATTTTAAAGTGATAGATCTTTCATAGATTTCTCATAGATGGCGCTACGACTATAAAGTCGTTGAAAAACCAAATACAAAGACACGACGTAAGCACATAGAAGAATTCGTGAGGTCCGCTGGATCGTTCCGTTGCTTAGTTGGTATAGCGTCTGCCACGGTAAGCTAAAGGACGTCGGTTCGAATCCGGCCGGATCGAAGGAATTTTTTCTAAGTGTTCGATCTTTGTATTAATAATTATAACAAACTAGTGGAGTAATTTCACAAAAAATTATTGAATATCAGCTCAATAAAAATTTAAAATACAGTGAATATCGACATCTCTCGCCAGGACTGATAGCTGTAAAGGTACTAACTGGGTGATAAGTCTTTCAAAGATTTCGCATAGATGGCGCTACGACTATAAAGTCGTTGAAAAACCAAATACAAAGACACGACGCAAGCACATAGAAGAATTCGTGAGGTCCGCTGGTTCGTTCCGTTGCTTAGTTGGTATAGTGTCAGGCACGGTAAACTAGAGGACGTCGGTTCGAATCCGGCCGGATTGAAGGATTTTTTTCTGAGTGTTCGATCTTTGTATTAATAATTAGAACAAACTAGTGGAGTAATTTCACAAAAAATAATTGAATATCAATTCAATAAAAATTTAAGATGAAACCTAATTAATAAGAAAGGCGCCAAAAAAGCCGCAAAATTTTTCATGTCGCAAAATAATGTGTCGATGTCGCATGTTGTGAAAATGTCGCTAAGGGTCGTATTCTAGAATTCTACTCAATGCTCAAGTCAACTTGAGTATGATTTAAAGCACTAGAAATCATACTCAAGTCCTTGCCATTAAGGTCCTATTTCCAGTGCTTGAAATCATACTCAAATCCTGACTTGAGCATTGAATAGAGTTCTAGAATACGACCCTAAGCATTCGAAATCATACTCAAGTCCCTGCCGTTAGGGTCGTATTTCCAGTGCTTGTGTTTCCAGTGCAATCCTGACTTGAGCATTGAGTAGAGTTCTAGAATACGACCCTGAATCTAGCGATAAAAAGTCGCAAAAAATTGGCAACACTGGCAGAGGTCTCTCGAAAGTTTTTTTAAGAGTTTGACTTGGATAAAAGTTCTTTGAGCCATGTCTTCGTTTAATTATAGGGATACTCACATTGACTTACAAATAAATGGACGACGGGTCTAATACAAAAACCACGAAAAAAATGTCCCAAGTCAATCTATTTAAACGTAGTGACATGTAAAGGAATATAAAAAGCTAAAACGTTGAATTTAAATTGTAATGTCATTGCAGTACTGCCGAATTTTGCTTGCAACAATTGAAAGGCGCAAAAAAACACCATATTCAGCTTCTATTGGAAACTTACCAAAATGCACCATATGTAGCTTCTAGTGAAAACTACTTGAACATAGGTATAATGGAGTA